TCGGAAAGCATTCTTGCACAGTCTTTAACGTTCTTCGAAGAAATTTAGTGATTTTGGAACAAATCAAATTTTTTTTTTGCTTTTGGCGGAAAGCATTCTTTCACAGTGTTTAACGTTCTTCGAAGAAATTTAGTGATTTTGGAACAAATCGTGCGACGAACAATTATCATCGAAGGCTTTTTCCAATATTCTGGTTTCGGTGCCAGAAATTTGATTCCGCACACAAAATTCAGTGGAACTTCTTTGTTGAATAATTTCACTAATTGTAAAAAACGCCGAATGAATTTATGTACTTCAGAAAGACAAGTGTATCTTTAATACTAATGATTATTTTGATTTTGATGTGACATTTGACACAGAAGTCTTACTATTTTTTGCTCACAGTACATGTTTCATCAGTTAGCTTCTGTGGGAAAAATTACTTTTATTGAAAAAAAAAAAAAACAAAACACTTGGATATGTTTTTGTGATAACAAAAGGCAACTACAAACAATTCTTGGAGTAGACCGTACTTCGTTGGTTTCCAATATGATTCATAAGTAATAGCAGACTCAACAATCAGCCCAACAAAATCAAATTCAAATCCATTTTAACGATATAAATAATTTTCAGCTTTTTAGTAATTGCAGAATATTTTCGAATTACCACTTTAAAGTATAACTAGAATCTACGTATCAGAAATTTGAGTAATAAATGTATACATAAATTAATTATTAAATATGTATGCACAAGTTTATTTTTCCAAACCTTTCAAAGTTGACGGCCACTTTGGACAAATACTTATTACAAATTTCTGAATATTTTCAGATTTTTAAAACTACCAATTACACCCTTCCAAGAATTATAAATAGTGATCTTTAACATAGCAGAAAACTTTCGATGACCCTGGTATCAATCTAAACCTCTCTGAAATCATACCTTTCGGGCCGTTACACACTAAGCAAAGTGCGTTTTTCTAATTCTTATCTCACAAGTTCAAACTTTTGTAACAAAAAAAAAAAATTTAATTTATGCTTAGATAATTTGGAGAAAGGTGCAAAAGTTATAACTCTATGCAGCGTTGATGAGTTGTCCTTAAAATTTGGGTGGGCGTACAAGGAGGCAAATAACAAGTTCATGCAGAAAAAATTTACGAAATAAAAAAAATGTTAACTTCCGCACCGAAGCTACTATACCTTTTAGAGATATATTTCTTAAAGCAACTACATATACGTGCAGTTAAATCTGAAAGCCTAAATGGCCAACGATTTGCATTCAATGAAAAGGTTTTGCGAGAGTTACAAAAAAAGACATTTCATGAAGATCTGTGTATTGATAAATAAAATAAAAAAGTTTTAAAGCCAAGAACTTGATTTGGATCGATCAATTTGTATAGCAGCCATATACCGTCACCTGAAATGCAAAATAACGTATCATCAAAAAATTCGAAATTGGGTGTCTTATTGATTACGCTTCACTACTTCAAATTACATACATAATGCATATAATATTACATATGTTCAACATTTTCAGGTTCTGCGTAAATTTCCGAAAATGTTGTTACGTTATTTTGCATTTCAGGTGACGGTATATACTATATGCATTTTGAATATGACTCATACCCGAATATTAAACTACATGCAACCTATTTTCCCCCATTTGCGGGAGTTATACATAATTTTAGCACCTAATCTAAGACTGCCAATAGATGAAGAGCAACCAAAACATTTTGGTTGTTATTCCTATAAGGACTTTAAACACAGATAATTTAGAAGTCTTGTGAAATATGTTAACTTTGACTATACGTAATTGTATTCATAGAAGCTTCCAAAATCAATGAAGACAACTAATTAGGTGGAAAAAATATCAGACAACAACAAAGAGGTAATTTTTTCCATTTTTAGCGCATTTAGCTGCCTTTTATTGTTTTATATTTTCAGACTATCAGAAAAAGCAAACATACATGCGTATACATATATACATATTGTATTAACATACACATGTACAAGTATAAGCCACCGAAGTGATTCGAACTGGCATTGCAAATTCTTATTTAATTTATAAGTTTATTCTTGAAAGCACTTACCTGACATTTTACCGTATTCGACAAACTGCTCTCTCTGATGTATATATGTATGTATAAACACAAGTGATCTTTATAGATTTCTTATACCTTTTCACATAAATACACTTTCTCTTATGCACTTTTCTATCAACGAATTTTTCACCGAACAATACGATTTCTTTAACAAATAACAAAGCCCGCTCACAATTTCAATATAAATCACTGTTATTAACGATACAATGAAGAAATTGCCGCATTCATTGCCAAATTCTAAAGAAATTTGTTAATTTTTATAAACCACTGCAATTATAGCCAACACTTTCTCAATCGCGCCAACGGAAACTGACAGAAGCGGTTGGAAGGAACTGGAATAGGCTTTGCGCAGGGTTTCATTGTCGCTTAAATATTATATCTTTTATATGAAAATAAATATTTTTATTTTTGTAAAAATAAAAACAAAAGTGTAGTTATATTTTAACAAAAAAAATTTATTATTAAATTTCATTCTAAAAAACAATGAATAATGTTATTTGTAATCATCAAATAAATTATATTTACTTATTTATCAGATTTGTTATTACATATATAATTTGTTTTCATAATATAATTACATTATATTAAGTAAGTTTGTAAATGTATATATTGTTTTTAAAATCTAAATTAAATAATGTACGCCTTAAATTAATTACAATAAAGGAAATTTAAATAATGTCCGCTTTACACAGTAGGGCAACTCCTTTCTTCTGTCAAACTTCCGCCGCCATTTGAAAAGTTCCAATTAAATTTTGCGCGTCGCTAGTGAAAAATTTGCTGAAATGTGTAATTTAGCTAATTAATTTATTGCGAAATATAGTAATTCATCTAGAATATAATTGCTGACTATGTTTTTTGTTCTTTTTGATTTGAATATGGTATATTAAAAATAATTGGTGTTCTGTACAGTGTATGAGCAGGTGCAGTGGTACGGAAATTATTAGATATTTAGGACCGCGCATGTGTTACGAGTTTTGTTACATTAAAAATATTTTTCGATTCAGATCTCAACAAACCATCATTGTGTAAAAACAATTTATCGCTAAATTGTAAATATCTGCATATTCTGACCAGGCTGGCCTTAAGCCTTTAAGAGCACCAAATTTGGTTTTGTTCTTGTACGAAATGCAATTACGCCGGCGACATCTGTTCGTCAATCTAATCGAACTAACCAGCGTTACCAAATATTCATTGAATGTCAGCTGTGGTCTGTTATAATAAGTAAGTACAAATGCTTTAGATAGAGGGCGCACAGAATAATTTTATTTCTTTATATTTTTAGGGTAAACTATTATATAATAATCATGAATCACTTATATTATTTAACTAATGAAGCGAAAGCACTGCTCGCTTGGATCTAAGGAGTAATTTAACCAATTTATATTCGTTTTTTTAGGAAAGAATTCTGTATTGAATCGGAAATTTTGATAAGGTATTTTAGGAACTAAGTCAATTTCAAGAAAAAAGATATATGTAGGCAATGGTATAATTCTAATGAAATGATATTACAAACAGAGCTAGTTGTAATTGTAATTGTAACTTTTGAATTCCAACAATTTTTTTTAGT